GTCAAAGAAAGCATACGCCAATTTTATTTTTTGATATGTTGTTAAGCTATAAAAGCACTATATAAACAAATTTTAAAAATTAAAAAACGTTTGGTTCTTCATAGTTAAAAATGGCGCCAAACAAAAGAAGTTTTTCATTTTTTTGACATTTTGAGCTCCGATAGCTCAAAAAATTCAATACAGATTTTAACGAAATTTTGTGATTTATTTGTGATTATAAGGTACTTCTAAAATAACAAAAAATATTTATTTATTTTGCGATAGATTTTGAGCTACGCTGTTTTGAAATCAGTGAAATTTTCAAATAATTCATTTTTTTCTAGATTTTTTGTTCAAAATATCCTTTGATTCGAGACAATAACATTTATTTTTTTGTTATTACATTGTTTCACTGATATGCACAAAATATTTCATCAAGATATGTTGGCTAGTTCAAGAGATATAGCGTTCTACGTAGGTACAAGTTTTGAAAAAAATCGCTCAAAAATTTGAGGATGCTGTCACAAAAATTTTCATAACTTGAAAAATAATTGAAATTTTTTTTTTTAAATTTTATTTTGTCGATGAAATACATTGAGGTACTTACTGTTAAAATTTTAAAAAAATCGGAGATGGTCGGGCGTGGACCATGGTTCAAGTTGACAGAGAATGACCCAGCTTCATATACGAAACATAAAATTTTAGAAATAAAAAAATATAATTATAATCAAAAATTGAATGGAATTAAAACAAAAACAAATAATTAAACAAATATAAAATACAAGAAACCTTTCAAAACAAAAGTGGTTGAATAAACGTTTAACAAACTTCCAACTTTCCAAGCTCGTACCATGCAAGAGCCTACAAGTTTGAAATTTTTAACTGAAAACTATCGTCAGTGAGAGAGCTCTTATATAGTGAGGATTTTTTAGTGGTATATACTGTATTATATATTATATTATATTCTTCATATATATGTATATATATATGTATATATATATATATATACATATATATATATATATATATATGTTGTCTTTATTGTCTATGTCATTGTGTATATGTTGTTATATGTTATGTTATCTATAACACACGCACACACAACACACTCACACACATGTATATACTTATTAGGGTCGCACCGGATAGTACTTTTTGATACCTTTTGATACTTTTTTGATACTGAAATTCGGCTGCGAATAAATTGCAAGTTTTTTACTAGGCAACATGTATAAACCAAGAACTGTTAAAATTATTATCGTCTAACCTCCGAAGTTATAAAACTGAAATATTTACAAACACATTCATCTTTAACATTTTTAATGAAAAAACTAAAAATTGTTTTTCAAAAATTCATCATGTTAAAATTGATTTAAATTTTAAAACTATAACAAATGGAAATAATACTAAATACAAATTAATAAAGCAAGCAGAAGAAATCAAATAAAATATTCAAGCAATTATACAGAATATGAGCGTAAAAGTTCCCTTAATTAAATTTTATTTTGTTGCGTTAATTGGTGGAAACAAAGTTATACCCTGCTGCTATCAAGCTATTGCAAGCAGCATTGATAATGACCAAGCTAACCGAAACTACCGTTAGTCTGCCTTATATATATATATATATATATATATATATATATATATATGTGTGTGTGTGTGTGTGTGTGTGTGTGTGTGTGTGTGTGTGTGTGTGTGTGTGTGTGTGTGTGTGTGTGTGTGTGTGTGTGTGTGTGAACTATCCTGGCCAAATGTAACAAACATTAGTTGTTAGGGTTAGGGTTAGGGTTAGAGTTAAAGTTGTTAAACATGTTAAAGTTAACATGTTGACATGTTAAAGTTACTATCTGGCCAACTATCCGGCAGTGATATCCGGACGGAGCTAATTAATACCCGGTGCAACCCAAACACTTGTTTATACATTTTGATAGAAAAAAGTTACAAACACAGAGTTCAGCAAAATGTATGTTTGTATATGTATATTTTTGCCATAGGGCACCTTAACGTAGCAATATACAATTAATTATTTTTGTATCTATAATTAAGTGTACAAGCAATTATAATTATTGATTCATAATTACACTCCCTATGTTAAATTAACAAATGTTAACCAATACATAAGAATTTATAATTTTTTTAATAAAATTCTATAAAGGTTAAAGTTTTTATAATATTATTTCATAGATATAACCTCTCAATTTTTCAACTTTAAAGTTATATAGGTTGCACACATATGGTTAATTAACACTGATAAAATAACTACTATATAATAAAGCTACCAAATCCTAATGTTTATTTATAGAATGAAAAATGTCAACAAACTAAGTAACTGTTCATATACAATATGTAAAATAAAATTACGATTTAAATTTTGAAGCTGAACAATCTCTTTCTTTCTCTCCTTCTCTTTTTCTCTCATTTTTTCTCTTTCTCTTTTTCTCTATCTTTTTCTCTTTCTTTATTATATACAAACGAATATTTATTTATGAGGGTGTGTTACATATACGTGCAATTTAAAGTCTTAAAAAGCTTCACACGTTGTATGTATATCGTGCAGGCGAAATGTTGTGTGTGAACCTGTGATCAAACTATAATTACACGGTAGTTGATGAACGAGTACTGATAACTTATAAGTTTCATGCATCTGTATTTGTTTAACAAAACATCCTTTAATTTCATACAGTATACATTGAATTGAACAATAAACAGCTAACGAAGCGTTTTGTGTACAATTGTACTTGGTACACTATACACGCTACAACAAATCAACGTCAAAGAACTTTGACGGCCCTTATAAGTTAAATTTAAATAATATTAAAGGATTGTTTAACTTAATGAGAGCCTATTGAGTTACACATAGAAAATAGAACATGTTGTAAATTGTTGATGCTTTGATTTGAAACTTTTTTCAAAAACTTCACGTAAACATTGACGTCATTTCTACTTCATCTTAGTTTACCGTAGATTTAGTAATGCTCCCAGGACCGGTTATAACGAAAGCGTGTCATAAACACCACTGTCGCTTCAAGTAAAGCCTATAATAGAAATAATACAATAGATAAGGCGATATCCGTGAAAAAACCATGTAAAATCGATTGAAAGGTTTCCATGTGTATTAAAAAATAAATATCTACAAACATGGACTTGAATTAAAATTAAATTTGAAAAATTAAAAAAGAAAACAGATTTATTTGCATATTATAAAACCATATTTTAGTTATTTGTATGAAATGCAAATCTTGTTTGCAGTATTATTATTATTGGTGTGTTTGTAAGCGGCCTTTAAAAAGATATCTAAGGCACTAAAGATTATTGAAGTACATGCAGTGAATAGAGAGAAAAAGACATTAGCATGGGTAAGCTTGGACAAAAAGATGGTGTTTCAGCTTTTTACGAAATTGAACAACAGACAACGCAGGATCACGAAGGTGCCTAGGCAAACCATTCCAGACAGCAGAACCCATTACGGAAAAATTCTTTCGACCAAGAGCCAAGTTTTTGTCAGGTACAAACAGTAAACCTGAATTGACAGAGCGCAATGTTGACTCAGCAGTAGCATTGTTCTAGGAATGACTGTCAGTTAGATATTTGGGGTCAACTCCCTTAATACATTTAAAAACCGTTAAGCATATCTTAAAAATAACTCTTTGATAAACCAAAAACCAGTGAAAAGCAAAAAGAATTGGCTTAACCTGGTCGTATTTAAGGCCGCCTGAAACCAACTTTGCAGCCTTGCAGCCTAATTTTGAATTGTGTTAAATGTTCTGTTTTCACCATTTTAACGCGTAGTTAGGCCAGGAATTATGAATCAATTAAAATATTCAAATTTTTCAGTAATTCATTTTTAAATTTTATTTAACTACCAAAAGCCAATTTAGTTGTTTATGGTTATGACGTCATCATGCAATATTTATGCATGCTTTCCATTGTCTAGAACTCGTTGTATCATTGAGTGAGTGTGTATCCGCTCTCGTGCTTTTGTCGTGGTTGAGTTTTTTAAATTTTTACGTGAATAAAATATAAAAATTTTGTAACAATGACTATATTTCAAACAATATTGATGGTGGTAGATGATTTTGATTGACTAACAATAATTATTTAAACTGTGATTGTTATGTTTATTTTAAAATTTTAAAGTTTTCATTGTTAGTCTACTTACCTCAGCTGTAGTCCACTGTATTGTATTCTACTTTTACTTTACTTCTTATAATTATAACTAATAATAATAATAATAAGAAACATCTTTATTTTTTACTTATTAAAAATTCTAATCTATTTTAATTTTAATTAATTTTCACAAAAGTTGGAAAATTTTCACTAGTCCAATAAAATTTAAAAACCTATACTGTTTTTACTGTTTTTTTAATTAAATATAGTTTGTTTAATAATTAAACAAACTATATTTAATTATTAAATAATATATTAAATAAATTAAATTATTAAATTAAACTATACTATATTTAATTAATCAAGTTCAAGACATGATCTGTAATCATAATAATGTCAGTAATGTAACATAATATTAATAATCTGATTTTTAAACTAACTGGTATTTACAATTTCCTTGCAAATGTCTTTCTTTAGTAATAATTATGTACTATAATTAGTATATAATATATAATAATTATTTATTTTATATAAAAGTGTTTGGTAATCTTAACAATTACTGCTTACACAAAAATTCTTTTTGATTGAGACTATCATTGAGATGAAGTTAACTTTCAAATATAAAACTGACTATTGCTTTGGTTAGTTTTTAATGTCTTGTTTTACTTTAATAAAGTAATACTTTTTAAGTAGTAACTAATTAATAGATCATTTTAAAATTTAAAGTTTATAACTACAAATATAAATTTTTTCTTTAAAATTAAAATAATTTTTTCATTATTTTCAGACGATAGATGCCATGAAGCGGCTAAAATACGACTTCAACATCCAGACCGGATACCTGTGAGTAACATTTTTTTGGTATTTTTTCATATTTAACAACTTTTCTACCTAGTAAAATAAAATTTTTACTAGTTTTCACTGTGAAATCTTTAAAAATCTGCCTATTTTAGACCTAATAAATAGAATTGTACATATTTAAGCAAAATAAATAGTTGAATGAAATATTTAGAATTTACATATTCAGAGTTGTAAGAGAAATCAGTCAAAAACAAACATATAATCATTATATTAAATTAACTTTCAGATTTTATTTAAAAAAATAGTAAATAATGATTAAAACTGAATAAAAAATACAAAATAAAATATATAAATAATGGTTAAAATAAAATAATTTTTTAGGTTATTCTAGAGAAGCTACCATCATCTAGCATACCCACAATAGGGCAGAGAAAGTTTCTGGTACCAGCCGACATAACAGTCTTACACTTCATGTGTCTCGTTAAGAAGAAGATCAAACTACGTCCCCAACAATCTCTCTTCATTTTTGTTGGGCCTATGTTCCCTTCAACCAGGTTTTGAGGGTTTTTTTTGTCTATTTGGGTGTATGTAGTTTTTGGGGGAGGGTAATAAAGAGAAAGAGAGAAAGAACGAGAGAGAGAGAGAGAGAGAGAAAAAAAGGAGAGACGAGCTACTAGATGAGCAGCAGAGTTAGAAGCTTTGCTTAAAAAATAGAGTGTAGAATCAGGAAGACCATAGTAGAGCAAGTTACAATAATCAATCCTAGATAAAAAAAAAGGTAACAAGAAAGAGAAGGGTAGGATTGTTAAGGAAAGGCAAAATTTTTTTATTCTAAGTAGATGAAGTAAGAACTTCTAGCAACACATCTAGAATCAAAGATAAAGCCTAGACTATGAAACTTGTGAGATACATCAAGAATGTATAATTTACTAAAATTAACAGTTAATTTTTGATACAATCAAAACTGAATAAACCTACATTCATCACCGTTTTTCTAGACTGGTAGATTGATTTATAAAATAAAATCCATATAACTACTAATTATCATTGGTTTTTCAAGATTTTTGATTAAATTATATACTGAATTTTAAAAATATAATAGGTTTTTTTTACAAATTTTGTTAAATTTTTCCAAATTTCAGTGCAGCAATGAGTGAAGTTTACAAGAGCTATAAAGACAAAGATGGATTTTTGTATGTAGCGTATAGTGGAGAAAATACATCTGGAGCTTGATCTTATACACATTATTCATTGCGACCTATTTTCATTCTGTTTTATTTATTTTAAGTTTATGATTTTATTGTTATTGTTTTAATTTATTTGACATTAATTTTTTAATTTATTTTTAAATACTTAATTTATTCAAACACAATTTTTTTTCGTTATACAGATTGTCGGTTTGCGACCTTGTGTTATGCTATGAAATTGTTTATCCTGATTAATCAACCATCTTGTCAGTGTTTGTGTTGAAATTATTCCAACATAATCATGTACATTTATCGTCTAATTGTTATTATAAACTCTATCTTAAATGAAAATTTTTTTCACTTTTTCATGCTCATACATACACGTACACACATACGTACACACACACACATACGTACACACACACACAGATACAGATACATATGTACGTACGTACACACGCACACATACATTATTACGATGTGCGTGAGATTTCATTGTTTAATTGGGATAGCTTCTGTTACATCACTTTTGTCACATTTTTTTTTCAATTCGTTATTTCATTTATTTTTTTTTTCTGTTTACTAATCTTTTATGCCAACTTGAAAACTGTTGAAAGATGCTTTTTATCTGGAATCAGTTATACTCAGCTGTTTACCCACACACATGCACTACACACGTGCGTATGTAGTTTTTGAATAGGGCACTATGTAAATAATACGTCGTTTTTATGGCTGTTATTCGTCTTTTAATTATGTTGCAATTGTTAGCTTCTTTATCGTTTAGTAACAACGAAACACAAGCAGTTGATGTTAATTTTGTTTAGATGTCTTTAGCGTTGCACACATACACGCACACATACACGCACACATACACACACATATACATACACACACACACACGAACTTACATTTATATATATATATAAATATGATATCACATAGATAAAATATCAAATGCCCGATCTTGTACAATAACTTAGGGAATGTTACTAATTAACATTTGAACTTTCACAATAAATAAATGTATAGTTAAAAGGAAATTTTTAATCTTGTAAAATTTGTCGTCGTCATTTCATTAGCGTTAATATCAATAAAAGTTAAAGAGTATAATTGTGCGTGGATGTGTATGTATAAGCACAAACCTACACGAACGCGCACACACACGTATATGTTTATAAATATGTGTGTGTTTATATATAATACCGTTTAAAATTTGTAAAAATGAAATAGAGAGTTTTGATGGTTTAAATTAAAAGAAAATTATTAATTTAAAGAGTAAGTTTATCTTTAATTATTTTTAGAAACCCTTCAGTTTCGCAGGCAAATAATAAGCTAAAAATAGCTAGACCAGCGATAACGAATATGGTTAAAGTACATTATATGGCCCCAAAATGATGAAGATGATAGGAGTCTAGTATTTAATAGTATAGACATAATATTAATAATAAGGCGTTGATGATGTCGTTTTTAATGTTGTCTAAAATGACGTGGATTTTGGTGTTTAGTTGTTGCTGTTTTAGTTGTTGCTCTTTTTTATGTTGATTTTGATGTTGAGTGTATGTAGTTGCCTACCATCGTAGTTGTGGTTGTTGTGGCCCTTTTTGAGGGGTTTGTGGTTGTCGACGTGTCCGCTGTCGTATTAGTTGTGGTGGTGGTGGTTGACGTTGCGGTCTCTGTGGTAGTTGTCGTCGTTGCGGCTGTGGTAGTTGTTGTGGCTGTTGTTGTTGTTGCTGTGGTGGTGGATATTGTGGCGATCGTGGAAGTCGTCGTAGTGCTTGTCGTCGTCGTCGTCGTCGTCGTTGGGGTTGTTGTTGTGTTGCTGGCGATGTTGTTGTCGATGTTGCTATTGTGGCTGCTATCGTTGCAAAAGTTGATGTTGTTGATGTTGTCATAGATGTTGCTGTTGATGTTGTCATAGATGTTGCTGTTGATGTTGTCGTAGATGTTGATGTTGTCATAGATGTTGTTGTTGTCATAGATGTTGCTGTTGATGTTGTCATAGATGTTGATGCTATCATAGATGTTGATGTTATCATAGATGTTGTTGTTGTCATAGATGTTATTGTTGATGTTGTCATGGATGTTGTTGTTGATGTTGTTGTTGATGTTGACATAAATGTTCTCGTTGATGTTGTAATGAATGTTGCTGCTGTAGTTTTCTTTAATTCTTTTACTCTTTTTGATGACGTTGTTGTCTTAGGAGTCTTTGTTGATGTTTTAGGCGTTGTTTCGGTTGTGAGCGTTGTTGTTGATGCTTTTGGTGTTGTTGTTGAAGTCGTTGGTGTTGCTGTTAATGTTTTTGGTGTTGTTGTTGATGTCTTTGGTGTTGTGTGTGTTTTTATGCTGGTTTGTATGTTGGAGTGTTCGACTGTAAATAAGTTTGTATATTTTTGAATGCTTGTTTAT